ACAGAGAGAGACATAGAGACAGAAAGCGAGAAATCACCCCCCAGAGGGGATGGTCATGCCGCAATCCCTTCTCCTCCATTCTCCTCTCAGGATCTTGGGCATGCATGCACATGCGCCCGGCGTGAGTTTTAAGCCACCGGGTCAGGGACACGAACCACGGTCGATTACATGGGAGTCCAGCGACATAGCCATTACGCTAACTGCTGGTTCCCCCCATGATGCATTTTTTAAAGAATTATTTTACTTAACTTTATTTTATTTATTGTATCATATTTACTTATTTTAATTTGACCAAGAAGGGGAGAGAGAGCAAAAGAGAAAGTGAGTGAGAAAGCTAGCTGCCAAGCTTGGGAGTCTAATTGTGATCAGCCATGTGGGAGCCCAGCACCCTTAACCACCATGTCACCTGCCGGCCCCATTATGCATTTTAAATATAGGGCGCATGTGCTTGCCAGAGAGAGAGGGAAAGTGGGAAAACACCCTCCAGTGAGGATAGCCACACCTCAGTCCCTTCTCTCCCATTATCCTCTTGGGATTGAGGACACACACACACACACACACACACACGCATGCACCTGGCGTGTTTTACAAGCCACTGGGTTTGAGACTTAAACCATGCGTTGGGATTCAGCACCTTAACCCTCACACCAGCAGCTGGCCCCTAGGCAGTCGTATTTGTACCCTGTGACCTTAGCCCATTCTTTGCCGATCTTCCTCACCTCTGAACACAACACACACGCACACACGCACAGCAACACACACACAGCCACACAGCGGACTAGGACGCAGGCGCCCCGATGATCGGCAGGCTGGGAGAGGGACCTGAGAGAGGAGCAGAACAAACTCAGCTGACTTCCAGCTGCCGAGGGTCTCACAAATAAAGCCCTTGAGAACTTCATTCGTTGAGCCAAAACAACCTGAACAAAAGAATCTTCCAGAAATGCTTACCCATTAGCCTTAACTTTATTTGAGCCAGAAGAGACTTGGTCCTAGTTAATTTTAAGTGTCAACTTGTCTAGGCTATAGCACCCAGTTATGGCTCAAACATTATTCTAGCTGTTTCTCTGAGGGTATTTTCTAGATGAGATTAACATTAAGTCAATAAATGTCTTTTTTTTTTTTCTGAGAGGTTTTGCTACAGGGTGTGTGCACTTGCTAGAAAGACAGAGAGAGACAGAAAGCAAGAAATCATCCCCACCCCAGGGGGGAAGGCCACACCACAATCTCTTCTCCATTCTCCTCTCAGGATCTTGGGCACAAATGCGCATGCGCCCAGAGTGAGTTTAAGCCACCAGGTCCAGGACTCAAACCACAGTAGACTATGTGGGAGTCTAGAAACGTAACCATTCCGCCATCTGCTGGTCCCAAATCAATAAACTTTGAATAAACAAGTTTCCCTCCATAATGTGGCTGAGTCTCATCCCATCAGCAGAAGACCTTGAAGAAAAGACTGTCCTCCCCAGGAAGAGTTCTGCCAACAACTGCCTTAGGACTGGAGCTGCAACTGCTCCCTGGGCCTCCAACTGCTGGCCTCCCTGCAAATGTGGGACATGCCAAGCCTCCCTAATCATTTGAGTCAATTCCTTAAATCCCAATTTCAAGGCCAGAAGGTGGCACAGCAGTTAAAAGTGATGCTCTGCAAAGCTACCCCCCATGGCGGGATTCCTGGTTCACATCCAGAGACCTCCCTAAGTACCAGGAACGCCTGTGCTCGCGACCCAGGGCTGGCTGGGGCTGGGGAATGGATTGCAGAGTTGAGACCCTATTGGGCAGACCCTGTCTGCCCCTCTGTCTCTCTTGCTCATAGACAAAATGAATAAATAAGTAAATAAATAAATACTTTATTTTTTAAAATTTCAGTCTCGGAACCAGCAGGTGGCATGGTGGTTAAGCCACTGGACACTCCCTCATGGCTGACCACAGTTCAAATCCTGGATCTGGTGATTTGCTTTCTCACTTTCCCTCTGCGTGTGTGTGTGTGGGGGTGGGTGGGTGTCTGGTCGAATTAAAAAATGAATGAATAAATATATAAATAATTCTTTAAAACAATTTTTTTTCAATCTCGCTCTGTAACACAAACACCCCACACACTGTATTGATTCTGTTTTTCTGGAAAACTTTGACTAACACAGTCTCTGGCACCAGTGGGAATTATGAGGATTACATTAGGGACTTCCTAATGCCCTTGGAGTCATGCCCCACGGGCAGCCATGCTCTGCCAGCTCCTTCATGAGACTTCATAGTGCGGGAGGACGAGCAAGGGGTCTGGAGGTTCCGGAGGAGCTAGTCTGGCCAGTCACTAAGATGTAGACTTGGACCAGTTATTCTGCCTCTGTGAGCCTCGCATTCCTTTCTAGAAAACAAAATGGCTAACTTGATCAGGGTCTAAAAACACACCACACATTGCCCAAAGCAGACATGGTGAGAGGAGCCCACTTTTTCCTACTGAAATGCAGAGGCAGCCTGTAACCCTTCTAACCATGTGGCCTGAGACAGACCTTACTGGCCAACATAAGCTGGTTGAGGAGATAAAGCCAACTAGCGGCCCCAAGATTACTTGTTTTCGAAAGACCCCACCAACTAAAATGAAACAAAGCCACGGAAATTCCGGTCACCATTAGGCAGGGGATTTATCTGACAAAGGAACCTCAACTCTTGGTTGACAATGACCAGAAGCATTGGAAAAGCGTGGAAAGTCAGGCCTGGAGAGGGCTGAGTGGGGGCTAGCGGTGTGCGGTCCTTGTCCCCACAGAGCTCTCCTGCATGTTCCCAGTCTCTTCTCCAGATCTAGATTGAACCCTAGGTTGTCTGAGCTCCCCAGGGTACAGTGGCACTACCCTAGGGCCATCCACCCGCCATGTTTACCTCGGCCAGGCTGATGGAGATGATGAACAAAGGCGGGGGAAGGCAGTTAGCTCTCTCCAGGTATGTCCTTCGCACCTTTTCAGGAAGCATCCATTTTGAGACAATCCTGTGGACCTTTTTATTCTTGGAGGGATCGTTACCTCCCCCGTCCTCTCTCGTCTCCTCTTCCTCTGGCTCTTCCTTCTCCTTCCCCGTATTCAGATTCACACTCTCCATCTCCAGATCATGCACAGCAGCCATTGTCCTGGGTCCTCCCTCTACCTGAAAGAGGCATGAATGTCATGGAAAAACAAGTGACCCGGGACAAGCAGTTAGTGTAATGGCTATGTTGCTGAATTCCCTGTAGCCAACTGAGGTTCAAGTCCCAGACCCGGTGGCTTAAACTCACGCTGGGCATGTGTGTGTGCGTGCCCAAGATCCCGAGAGGATAATGGAGGAGAAAGGATTGTGGTGTGGCCATCCCCCCCACCCGGGGGGGGGTGCTGATTTCTCACTTTCTGTCTCTGTCTCTCTCTCTCTTTCTGGCAAGCACATGCGCCCTATAGCAAAAACCTCTCAAAAAAAAAAAAAAAAAGTGATGTGACCCCATGGCCATGGGTAGGGCTCTTCCTGGACCCTGGCACAACCTCTAGTTTCCAAAGCCTGCCCTGTAGCCTGGTAAATGGTAACTGAAGATGATCAAAATGGCCTAAATATCCTTAGAGGTCCAAAATTGAGTTTTCACTTTTTTCTTATAACTTTTTTTTTCTTTTAATTGTCAGAGGACGCATGCTCTCATCAAAGAGAAACAGAGAAGCAATCGCCCTCTAATAGGGTATGGTCCTGCCACGAGCCCTCCTCCTTCATGTCTGCATCTTGGGATTTGCGGCATGCACACACATGCACTCAGTGTGTTTTTCAAGTCAGTGGGGCCAGGATTCGAAATAGAGTCAGCTACGTGAGATCCAGCTCCCTTAACCACTAGGATATAGGCTGGCCCAGTTTCCACTTTATTATTTTGTGATTATTTTTTTAATTATTATTTTATTTAGCTTTATTTATTAGTATTATTTTCCAGTTTGATCAGAGAGAGACAGAGAAAGAGAGAGAGGGAAAGTGAGAAAGGGAGCCATCAGGTCCAGGACTTGAACCGCAGTCGGTCGTGTGGGAGTCCAGCACCTTTATCACCACGCCACCTGCCAGCCCCGTTTTGTGATTATGAAACCAGATGACTAGGATGCAAACACAGCGCTGTCACATCTCAACTCCACGGTAACTTTAGATAAGTCAGTTCAATTGTCCAAGCCTCCCATTGCATTTTTTAAACTATGGGAAAATACATATACATAAAATCTACATTTTAAAGTATAAAATTTGGTGACATTGAATGCATTTACAATGTACAATTTACAGAACTCTATTTACTTAATTTTTAGATTTTTGCCAAAGGGTGCACGTGCTTGCTGGAGACACAGAGAGAAGGAAAGTGAGAAACTGCACACCTTCAAGGAGGGTTAGCCATGCTGCAATCCCTTCTCATTCTCCTCTTAGGAAATTGGGCACACACACACATGCCTGGCATGATTTTCAAGTCACTAGATCCAGGACTTGAAGTGCAGTCAACCATAAGAGAGTCCAACACCCTAACCACCACACCACCTGCTAGCTCCAACCAGAACTTTTTTATCACTCCAAACTAAAACCCCATACCCATAAGGAGTGACTCTCATTCCCCTCATCCCAGACACTGACAACCTCTAATCTGCTTTCTGTCTCGATAGATGTAATAATTCGGGATACTTCATATAAATGGAATTATCCAATAGATGGCTTTTCATGTCTGGCTCCTTTCACTGAGCAGAATGGTTTCAGGATTTATCTATGTTGCAGCATGGCTCAGAATTACCTTTCTTTTATGGCTGAGTATATTGCATTGAATAGATATACCACATTTTGTTGATCTATTCACCTGCTGATGGACAACTGGCTTGTTCCCACCTTTTGCCTAGCTAAATGAGCTATAATGAGCATCCCTGTACAAGCTCTTATTTGAACATCTGTTTTCGGTTCTTTGGGATATGCACCTGTGGCTTGAATTGCTGGGTCATATGGTATGCCTATGTTTAACTTATTAGGAAGTCTTCAGATTGCATTGTTTTATGTCAGAGGGCATGTGTATTAGAGAAACAAATATAAAGAGAGAAAACCACCCCCAAATGGGCATGGTCATATTATAATCCCTTTTGTTTTTTAGAATTATTTTATTATTTTCACTTTTTTAAAAAATGTAGTAGTAGTAGTATTTTCCAATTTGACCAGAGACAGACAGAGAGAGAAAGCAAGTCAACAGGTTCAGGACTTGAACCATGGTTGGCCATGTGGGAATCTAGCGCCTTTAACCACAATGCCACCTGACAGGCACTACAATCCCTTTCCTCCAGTTCTCCATCCCATCAGGATCCTGGACATGTGTGTAGATGCCTAGCATATCTTCCAAGCCAGCAGGGCCAGAAGTCTCACATGCATGCACACACGCTGTGTCATAAATAAAGAAAAAAGCTGTATGAATAAGCAGTTATCCATTAAATATTATACATAATCATTTTGTAAGGAAATAAAACTCTGTACTGATAACAGTACAGCTTTATAAAAGGAGCTAGAGGGATCAGCAGGTGGCATGATGGTTAAGGATACTAGACCCCCACATAGTCAAACCCCCACATGGTTTGAGTCCCAAACCTGGCAGCTTGTTTTCTCACTTTCCCTCTCTCTCACTCTGCCCCTCTCTGGTCAAATTAAAAATAAATAAATAAATAAATAAAGTTAAATAAAATAATATTCTAAAAAAGAGCTAGAAAAATAAGGATTCTGAGGCCAGCTGGTGGCATGGTGGTTAAGGTGCTAGACTGCCACATGGCTGACCACAGTTTGAGACCTGGACCTGGCAACTTACTTTCTCACTTTCCCTTTCTCTCTCTCAGTCTCTCTCTGGTTAAAATTAAAAATAAAATAAGATAATAACAAATAAATAATTCTTAAAAAAAAAAAATTAAAATAACGATAGGGGCCAGCAGGTGGCGTAGTGGTTGAGGCACTGGACTCCCACATGGCTGACTATGGTTCAAGTTCCAGACCTAGTGATTTGCTTTCTCACTTTCCCTCTCTCTCTCTCTCTCTGGTCAAATTTAAAAATCATCATCATAATAAAATTAAGCAAATAATTATAAAAATATAACAAATAAAATTAAATAATTCTTTTTTTAGGTGAAAGGAAAAGAATTTTCATGAAATAAAATACTGCTGTTTCATAATTGACAAAGTAAAACAGTACAACCCAACTAAATTGTGCAGTTTTCCTGATGCCTATACAACAGGAATTGTTGTATTACCAGCTTTTCATTTTTCATAAGACAAACCTGGTGGTGGCTAGAAACTGTTGCTCCTTTGAACTTCAAAGCTTGGGCCTCCTTTGATAGGCAGACAGTGACTCCCACTCATTATTAAGCTGCTAGTCAGCAACATCTAGTTTCATTCATTAACATTCAGGACACATTCAGGACACTGGTAAACTGTCAGGTTTCTTTTTTTGAGAGGTTTTCGCTATAGGGCACGTGCGCTCGCCAGAGAGACATAGAGACAGAAAGCGAGAAATCACCCCCCAGAGGGGATGGTCACGCCGCAATCCCTTCTCCTCCATTCTCCTCTCGGGATCTTGGGCACGCACGCACACGCGCCCAGCGTGAGTTTTAAGCCACTGGGTCCGGGATGCGAACCGCGGTCGACTACGTGGGAGTCCAGTGACATAGCCATTACGCTAACTGCTGGTTCCGAAACTGTCAGGTTTTAACCAAGTGACTTTCCATGAACTATTCTTCCACATGCTTTAGAATGTTCTCATCTACTTAATACAAAACCAACTTCTTAGTATCTCCACATAACTGCTCCTATATACCACTGAAAGAGCGCCATTCTTCCTGTAACACACCAACCAACTCCCAAATCCAATGTAAAAAAGCAAAATAAATAATTCTTTATAAAAAAGAAAAAGAAGGGGGTCCCTTTTCCTCTTAATTTTTTTCTTTTCTTCAGCTTTCAAATTTTCCAGAAAGTTTAAAACTTCAAGCTCAGGGGCCAACAGGAGGGATGCTGGTTAAGGGCACAGGTCTCCCACATAGCCAACCTGGCGACTTGCTTTCTCACTTTCTCTCTCTCTCTCTCTCTGTCTCTCTCTGGCCAAATTAAAATAAATAAATAAGGAACCAGCAGTTAGCGTAATGGCTATGTCGCTGGACTCCCACATAGTCAACCGTGGTTCGTGTCCCGGACCCGGTGGCTTAAAACTCACGCCGGGCGCGTGTGCGTGCGTGCCCAAGATCCCGAGAGGAGAATGGAGGAGAAGGGATTGTGGCGTGACCATCCCCCCTGGGGGGTGATTTCTCGCTTTCTGTCTCTATGTCTCTCTCTGTCTGTCTGGCGAGCGCACGCGCCCTACAGTGAAAATCTCTCCAAAAAAAAAAAGGAAAAAAAAAAAATAAATAAAAAAAAATAATGTTAAATAAAATAATTCTTAAAAAAAAACAACTTCAGGCTTACCATCCTAGGTGTGTTGGTGTTTCAACATATGTCCTGGGCTGCAGAGATAGCAACCCATTCAGGTCAGCCGAGACTCATCAGATACCTGCTCCCTTCCTTGACATGCGCAGTAACGGGATCTGACATGCAGCGTGCTGGCTACTTACGCTCTAGCAATAGACGAGCATGTTGGCGGTGATTTGCAGCATCTTGTTCTCACCTCTCTTCACAGTCACTGTAACTCCAACTTCCCTGTCTGTCCTGTTCCCTGAGGACGGGGGCCTCTCTCTGATTCACCTTACCTCCCACACCTGCTGCTGTGGTGCTCACAGGTGCGCCTTCCAGTCTCTGACACCCCAGGCCTTCCCACTCCTGCTCGCCTTCGGCTCCACACCTGGATCTCCGAGTTTGTTAACCACCTTGGAAATACGGCCAAGTGGACTAGCAACAGTGAGCAAAACTGATAATGCCCCATTCTTGTGAAGCGGTGTGGAAACGGCTGTTGGGTAGGAGGTAGAAACTGATGCAGCCTTTGGGAATGCAATTGAGCAGCATCTGTCAAATAAAAGGCATGAACCCTTCAACAGACTCCTCCCACCTCTAGAAATCTCTCCTATGAGCAAGTACACAAAGCCATATTACAGGGCTATCAGTGCAGAACTAGTCATAGTAGTGAAAAATTACAAACTGGTTAAATGTACTTCGGTGAG